ACTGACAAATTCAGTTTATGACTGAATTCTGGGTTGACTATGCCAAAGTAACCCATCATATGTCTCTCCACTGCCTGCCTTGGGATCTAATGCTCTGTTTATTGTCATCAGTTGGTGGGCTCAGCATGGCATAGCACAGGTCACTGGCAGGTAAATTACACCTTCGCTAATATTAAAACTAACACTCTTCATCCTTGTACACTACGACAAGAAGACCCTGCTCTTTCCCATTATACTCTAGGCTAACGCTCACATGGGATTGTTAACCCTTCGACTCACACACAACCCATCTGCGACCCACGTTTGTTAGGTGAATTACCCCTTTGAACACCTAACCACCTCTCCCACTAAAAGACATGGTAACCCTACAATGGCTTTAACTTGATTTTAAAAACGCACACACCAGGATGATAACTTTTCATTTTGCAGAGATCACAACAATATTTCCCCCAACCAAAGTACTCCAGATAAATTATGAGCCCACACGCCATGTGTTGCAAAGTTGAAAGACGATACAAAGGCAGATCATATAATAGGAGAAAAATGTACAATGACACAAAATGTTCTTGGACCACAAAGGATTGACCACAGGGAAGGCATCATGTCTGGGAGGCAAGCTATTGCATTGTGGTCGAAGGGTTTAACAGCAAAACTATGAGTGTGAAACCATTGGTAGTCATGGGGGTCACAAAAACAGTGAACCGTGAAAAGGGGAAGGAAATGGGGACGGTGTAATGAAGACAAAAAAGAGCAAAATTTACCATCTGCGAAAGGGTCGAGACGCTCCGGTGAGATGATCATCTGTCGGCGCCGGGCTTTGTATTCATCTTCCCGCTCTGCGATCTTTTGCGGACGATGCTCTGCAAATGGGTCATACTGAAAAGCAAGATGGGATAAAGAGTGTGAGTGCAGTTCAAAAGCCAAAAAGGCTCTTTGTAAGTTTGTGGAACAACAAAAAAAGAAAGAAACCAAAAACAGGGATCCCATTCTTTAAGGACTCATTTTTCAGGACCTTTCCAGGAGTTCTTCATGACAGTACAGGACAGCACTTGCTCACAAACAGTGTTCAGTGTTTATAAGACACTCCATGTTTCTTGTTTACTAAAACTGTAGACTATTCAGAAAGTAATTTTTTGCTTTCTGAATCGCCTACAGTTTTCCCCCTGACATTACATTAATTTGGCCACAGCTAATAAAGAATACACATTTTCCAGAACAACACAGTATTATTCCAGAATATTTGGTCAACTAAAACCATTTTAATGTGTTTCCATGTCTGGAAAACTAGTGCCCAAATGTATAGGGTTTCCAGGAGACATAGATAGATAGATATAGATAGATATCTACATGGGAACCCTAAAAACGTTTTTTTTTTAATTCTGACTTATTAGAAAACTCAGAATGTATTTGATATTCGCGACAGAATAAATGAACACATACTTGCTCGTCTGACTGAGGAATGGCATTGAGTATTGCCACTGGTGCATGGTACCCTGGCTTCTTCTGTCCCAACAAGCTTGTTGATGAATCCTCTTCATCGTCCTGAGGAAAGAGAGACACAGGAGTCTAGTCAAATCTCACCAAAAAAAAAAAAAATGGCTCCTCTAGCTCATGTGCAACAGGCAAGAGGGGGAGCAGTCAAGCTCCAAAAACAATGTGCACATGCAATGGAATAAAAGGATGAAGCATCTGTAAACTCTGCAACTACCTGGGAGAGAAGAAACAAAAAAACTTTTCTATGCCCTAGGTTTGTTAAATACTTACATCCTCCTGTTCATTGGCAGCAATGGAAGTGACATATCCAGCAAAGCGACTGTCGCTGCCGCCATAGATCTCCTGGTCATAAAAGCCAGTGGAGTCAAGGCCTACTCCCTGCTCTCCTTCTTCCAGCAGGGTAGCCTTCATCCCCTGGATCTCCAGGATCTGGGCCTCGATATCTACCGGGGAATGAAAAAACAAACAAGAGACGATGAGATGTTGCATTATGACCAAACAATCTGACTCCACAGTAAAATAAACAAACTAATTATCGAAGTTTGATTATTTAAACGACACAGAGGCTTAACGAGCACGACGGCGGAGTGACACAAATAGCTCAACAGATCCCTGCGCGTTTGTGTAACGTGTGGTGTTGTTAAATGAAGCTATTGCTAACCATGTTAGCCACATTAGCATTTAAACTCCAATAAATTGTGATAATCTTAAGAGAGTCATACAATAATGCATGCGCAGTAAAACATATTTACAGCACGTCGGTGAATGTGGTGACGAAGTTCTATATACATCTAGAAAACATTTTAATAAGTGCATGACGACGGTAGCTAACTAGCGAGCTAAAACAGCTAGCAACCAGCGCCATTATCTAAGCTGTCCGCGTTGCGTCGTACTATGGCCTGCTGCTTCTAGCGCTTTAAAGCAATACATCCATACTGTAATATGTGCCCCAGACATCGCAGCATAAACTACATAATTTCTTAGCCTGTAAAATTGTGAAAAATAATGTAAAATACAAGCTATTTAGTAGTTATTTTTGCAAAAATGTTACCTTCGTGCGTTTTGGCGATCTTCGCCATTTTGGTGGTGGTTGTCGAGTCTGAAACCGGAAGCGCGTTAATCCACAGTTCCGTCTCTTTCAAGCAGATCTCAGAGCAGTTTACAAAGGACAGGAAGCGTACTGGTAGAAGGAGGTACTGACATAGACATATAGACGCCGCATTGTATTGTATGTCTATGGGTACTGATACCGCAGTGGATAAATACTCCTATAGACCCGTGTGAGTCTCGAACACAACACGTATTAGAGGCAGAATGTATCAAAAGTCTTCATTATGTAGAATGCTCTTTCCAAAGTGAACAACATTACATATATGAGATTATTACTGATGCATTAATATGTAAGATGCATTTTTTTGTGAGTGCTGTTCTACATTGAGCTAATTTGAATTCATTTATATACTGCTGGGTAGTTTCATCTATGACAACGTATCTGACAATGCATCGTTTTTAATAAGGTCATATGTTTTGTATTTAAAATCATAATCTGAAGAGTAACCATAGATGTCAGATAGATATAGTCGAGTAAAAAGTACAATACATTGTAGTGGAGTAAGAATATGAAATGTAAACTCAAATGTTTACTTATAGCTTATTCATGTACTGTAGTTACTACTTCAGTAAATGCACTTTGTACCACTTTTTTTTGCATTTATTTCTATATGTCAATGTTACAAACATAAAACTTACTGTATAAAACAACTACACGATCATCATCCTCATTATTATTATTATTAGAGTTACTTTTATACAGTCCTCAAATAGACTTGATGATGAGTCAATTTTTGATGTTTGTTATTTTTAATAAGCGAAATGGATGCTTCAAATTTAAATTTAGAACACAAAAAATCAGAGCAATAATAAGCTGATCAGTACACACAATAAAATTCAGAATCAACTTTATTGGCCAAGTATGTTGACACATATAAAGAATTTAGCTCCAAATATACTTACATGCAGTGCAAATTTACAGAATGATTCAATTTTAAAAAACACACACATAAAGAAAGAAAACAAGCTCAACAAATATAACCAAACCTAAAGATATATCTTCCTTAAAGACAGGGCTTAGACAATAAAATACAATATAATCTATATACAGGTCATATTGTCACAGCAGTCATATTGTCACAGCAGTACAAAGAATGGTGTAATTAATAGTATGAATAATATGTTATATATATGTTATATGTTGTTACTCCATATAGCCCACAGATGTGTTGTAATATGAATATATGTGATTGTTTCTGATTTAATTTTATGTGTTTATTTGAATTTTGGGGTTTTTTATTCTCTTTTTATTGAGTTATACCAAGGTCCATACAGACAATGTAAACCATCATTATCATAGAGCAGTAGAAACCAAATCTCATCTGGGAAGCAGAGTTATACCAGACTGGAGCAGAGCTGACATTTAAACGACAACACAGAAGCAATTAAGGACCAACAAATTAAATAAACATACTGGTATCAAAATAGCAGGTAAAATACAAAAATGGAAAAAACTTGAAGGAAGTAGAATCAGAGTGATGGGGTGTGCCTTCATGATACTCAAATAAAAAGAAGATAGAAGGTAAAAAACAAAACAAAAAGGGGTAACACAGTCCAACCTTCCCATCTTTTCAAAAACTGCTCCTGTTGCAGTCTAATGGAAAAAGTGATTAATTCCATATTAAATACATCATAAATAATATCAACCCAATTGTTGACTGTAGGAATGTCTGGTTTTCACCACTTTCTGGTTATGGCTTTCCTTCCAGTTGCACTTTGAAATAAATTTCCAGTCTGAGAGGTAACCTTATCTGGTGGCAGTGTGCTTAAATACAGATTTTATGACTTTTCCCTCCTTAAAAAGCATGTTCTCACTATGTGCTATATAAATAAAGTGTTATTATTATTATTATTAGTAGTAGTAGTAGTAATTATATATTATGTAATATTATTATAGTAGTAGTAGTAGTGGTAGTAGTATATAATACAGCATTTGTAGCACATGTCTAGTATTGTATATAGCACAGTAAGTCATCAGTCAACTGTTGCTCTGCTTTCACATACACTCCAAACCAGACCACCTAAAGCAGAATCAACATAACATCAAAGAACGAACTTCTGTACTAACTGTAATACGTATATAATATTTAGCCTAATTAAGCCAAAATAATAGCTTCAAAGATGGCGGGCAACGTTTGAAACAGTTTCAGTGAATGACCACACAGTAGGTGTGTGAATAACGTCACACCGGGCTCCACTGAACTTGAATGTACAAAGTGAACATAGGCCGAAACCTGAGCCAACATCTCGTGACATTCTTGCGTGTGCGCGTTCGTGCACGCGCGAAGCAAAGACGTCAGTAATTTCGGCTGACGAACCGCAAAACTGGCCAGTGAAAACTCTCCCTTGTCATGGGTCCTCCAATGGTAGGCCGGCATTCAGAGAGGGGCGGGACAAACCTGCGGGCACTGATGTCTGTCAACTTGACATTAGTAGGAGAGTGAAGAAGAAATCCGTGAAAGAAAGAACGATGGCGAGAGGTAGTCGGAGCCTGCGGAAAGTAGCTGAGTGCATGAAACAGTTACCTTCTACAGCCACCCGGGAAATACAGACTAGGAACAACGTAAGGTACGGTTTTAGACCTTATATTTCTCGACTAAAGCTGGAAAGTGTAGGAGCAGACGCACCTCTGACAATAACAAATGTTTGCAAAGGCAGCGTTAGTAGCAGAGACATTCTGCTAGAGACTGTTTGGGGTTAAAGCTAACATTAACAAACGTAACTCTTCGTGTACCTTGTTTGGTTTATTAGCCCTATTGGAACACGCGTTGTGTGGCCCGCATATTGTTGTCAGTCAGATAGTATCTTTCTAGAACTTTAGATTCCTTCAACAACATCGTAATTAGTCAGCGGGGCCTGTTGCATCATGTGTCTAATGTATTCCAGGTAGAATATGACACCAGCCAACACTGGTGGAAGTAGCCTAGTGTGCTGATAGAGCCTTCAGAGTGTGTACTAGAAGTGAAAAAAAGTCCTGCCCTTAAAGTTGTAGTAAGTAAAAGTACAGCTGTGTTATCTAGCTGATCAAGCCATTTTTAACTATTTTAGATAATGTTATTGCAATCTATTATTATGCACAATAGTTATAAACTGATAATATAGTTTGTATATCTTTTTTTAACTGTAGATAAATGTAGTGGAGTAGAAAGTACATCATTTACCTCTGAAATGTGAAAGTAAAAGTGAAAGCATCATAAAATGATTAAAAAAAATCCAATAATTGTAGGCCTTAAAATGTCTTAAATACATTTTGAGCCTCTTTAAAATGGCTTCGCTTAATAAAGTTGCATTTTTCATTCTCTCTTAAACGTGTTCTTGGGAAAAAAGTGTCATATTCTAAAGATACAAAACAAAGCTGATATGGAATCAAAACTGATTGTCTTTCATATACAACATTTCATGTTTTAAATTGCATTCATAATGGTCCTAAAGGTCTTAAAACTCTTACATTTAACCTGTTGAAGCATAAGAAACCCTGGGTATAGTAAAGTGTCTCAAAAGTGTACCAATTTACATTCCCCTACTGCAGCTTAACCATGTTAACTTGCCCAGGACCTTCAAGGTTATAAATATAGGCATGTGTAAGGAGAACAGCTGCTGCAAGAGCACGGCGTTATGCAATAGACTTCCATTTTGGTCCGTGGTTTAAAATCCTACAGAGGAACGGGTTTTTATGCCAGCTGACCACCACCATTACTCTAACAACTTGAAAAACAATTGAAATCCAAGTTAGCCTCTGGCACATTGGTTTGGAAGGAGGCAAATTCCTTGGAAGTGTTTCCCAGGAAAAAGAGAGCAAGTTTGCACACAGAATATTCCAAGCACTCATAGTTTTAATTTGGCAACATTTCACCAACAGTTTCCTCACCTTGATTGTTGGAAGATTGCCTTATTAAACTTGTGAGAGCTTGCTCTTTATCCATCACATCCTGGTCTTGTCCAGTTTATCAACCATAATTCTCCATATCTGCACCCATTCACTTACATGGACTTGGCAGTGTGAGGCCAGTACCATGTGTCAGCTGGATCACATTTCAGGTAGTAGTGGGTGGGTTCTCTTTGAAGTGACCAGCGGGCCGGTAATGGACCAGTAATTGAAAGAAGCACACGATGAGCAGCACAGAATAGTTGATGACATTGATATTGTCACATTACATTAAGTGGTGGCATAATGACTGGTTAAATCTAAAGATATGCCCAGAGAGCTTTGTCGGGCTGCCAAACCATGCACTGCCAGGGACATTGTGGTACAGGGTGCCCCAGGTGCTGTGGGTGACAGCCAGGCACAATAGACAAATCAAAGTGTCAGATGTGTCAGTGACAGATGCCTCAGTAGTGTTCAGTGGCAGTACCCTGCAGCCTGCCGATGGGAGCGGTAACACCAGAGTTATATGTTTATAGACCCTGTAGAGGTAACCCATCCAGGGTTAATAGAGTTGGTGTCAAAGAGGATCTGACTTAGGCAGGGGCAGATCTAGAGAAATATTCATGGGGGGTCCAGAGGGTGTCCTGGAGACTTTAAGGGGTGGCAGAAATATCTGCTTATTTAATCACATCACATTATGTTATTTGGCTTGGAAAGCCGAACAATTTGAAGATATTGACATAATTATTGTGGCACATTAGTAAAACACTGATAGAAATATCTAAGGGGTATTAGAGATCAATGAACTCTTTTTTTTAATCACTTAGTCTTAAAATGTGTCTACAACAGAACATAATGGATTATATGGTGACTATATATAATGTTATTTTTTTAAATGTTATCTAAATGATGTTAAATTTGACGCAATTTGACACCCGACTGCCACCTTTAGCTCGCCCCTGGATGCCATGGGCTTCTGATCAGTTAAAGCACAACAGTGGAAAAAGAATAGCAATTGCATAAGTAGTTCCCAGAGGCCCAAGGTGACTTCTTTATGTCTTATCTTTTTGTCAGATCATGTACTATTTTTGCATGAGTAATGCTGCGTAATCACTGTCAAAATAGTCAAATGTAACCAAAAAGCAATTTAAATACCTATGAGCACAAAGGAAACACATTTTGTACGTTTAAAAAAAGACTTGGCGGAGATTTGACTTCCATTTCTGAGTCTTTACAGCAGGCCTCACTGCCTGGCTGTGGTTGAGACGTAAGTGAGTCGAGAGCTATGGAAACGTATGGCATACAAGATTCTGTGTCATCTATATAGTTTATTATTTTTTAAACTGTACTGTAACGTATGGATAATGTTGTTTTCCTTGTGCGACGAGTCCAATGTTATATCATAATTGTTTAGTAATAACTATACATTCTCTTAATCTATTGAAGTAGTAGGGTTGGCTATTTCAGCTCAGCAGTTTTGCAGACGGAATTCATTTTTTTAGTGCTGTACTCATTTATTCGAAGTCATCATAAGATGAGGTTTTTCAGTTGGAGTCAGGCTAAAGTAGTTGCTGTTGAACTATTCCATCTATTTAACTGTTGTAATGCGCTGGAACCCTATCATTCATTCAATCTGCAACAGGCTAAACAGAAAGTACACGTGTATAGCCAATGTAGGCAGGAGGCAGAAAACCAGGCTGAGCAGGCCTAGGTGCGTTAGGGTGGCGTGATTTCTTAGTAATTGAAGTCGGGTGCCCTTGACCTGTGTTCCATTTTGTTTATTGCATCTGTAGGCTGTGACCCCTTTTTACTTGAATGAAAATGTTTGCAGGTGTGGCAGAAGGCTCATTTTCGAGTGTCCTTGCTCCCCACCATAAAGCTTTTCTTGGATTTACAGTCTTATATGCTGTTAGCAGCATGGCTTTCTGTTGATGGACTTCCTGTCCCATTTAGTTTTGTTACATAAACGTAGGCTTGGAAAAACAAGCAATTGAGCATTGTACAATGAAGGGTAACAGAGGAACAAGCGGATTATTGTCGAAACACCCAAACAGATTCAGGTGTACTGGGCCTGCTGTCCCTCGGGGTTCATAGAGCATACGTATTCATTCTTTCCTTCTTGCTGTTTGTTTTGTGACCAGCTATTGTCTCATGTGGGATCCTGATGACTCGCGGGCCTCCCTGCTGGGTGCAGCCTGCGCGGGCGTGCGTCATGTTGCCCGCCGCAGCTTTCTTCAACCTGGTGATTCCCTCTCCAAAGAGAAGGGTACTCGGGAAGACGCATCATTGGGTGAGTCTTCAAGGCGCTTTTAACTTTAAAAAAGGGATTATTGGGCGCCCGGTTAGCTCAGTGGGTAGAGCTGGCGACCCATGTACTGAGGCTGAGTCCTTGCTGCAGCAGCCCAGGGTTCGAATCCGTCCTGCAGCCCTTTGCTGCGTGTCATCCCCTCTCTCTGTCCCCTTTCCTGTCTGTCTCCAGCTGTCTCTATCAAAAAGGCAATAAAAGCCCCCCAAAAAATAAATAAAATGCTTTTGTGTGTAAAACGTTTTTGATACTTGTTGTGTTATTTCATATCATAAATGTGTTTTAGGTTTAATTAGAGCTCACAGTGTTCTTCAGGAGTGTCAAACTCATTTTAGTTCTTTGGCTGCATACAGCACAGTTTGACCTCATGTGGGCCAGACCAGTAACTGTTGCATGATAACGTGAAGAAGTACATTCTGAAAACAGTCACAAAAGTAGTGCAGTTTCAACAATCTGACAGTTTTTCCACGTGCATTATAATCCATAGATCACATGGGAAACTACATTATAGTATTTTACTGTTAGACAAATCAGGAATAATGGTACATGTAAGTACAAATACTAAGTACTATACTATAGATACATGAAAATACTACTTGTGTACTGTACTGTACTTCTACTTTTACTCCCTACATTTTACACAAATATCCATACATTCCATTCTTACATTTTAAAGCAGGCTCATTTGACGCATTTGAGGGGAAATGATACATTTTTATTTTGCATCTTGAACTCCTTCCAAACATCAAGACAGGTGCATATTACGCATGACAGATGTAACATGACCAAAACAACAGAAATGTCCTCAAAGACAGGACGTAGCAGACAAGAGTAGAAGACTGGATCCCATGGGAAGTTTCAGGTAGCTGTTAGAATTGTCCTGTCTGTACTTTTTCCCTTTTACTTGAGTAAAGATGTTGAATCAGTACTTCTACTTAAGTAAAGACAGTACATACTTCATCCACCTCTGCTTCTCTGTCATTTTCACACTTTGCAAAGTCCTCCAGTGGGTCGGATTGGACCCTTTGGCAGGCCAGTTCTAGCCCGTGGGCCACGTGTTTGACAACCCTGTCCAGTGTTAATGATAAAAAAATGTTTACGGCGCATGATCACAGAAGTCTCTATACACCTTACAGAAAGCAGCATACAATAATATACATCTTATTAAAAAGCCTTCCTAAATTCTCCGTACGTGTGAATAACTGATTTGAGCGCTGGTGCCCTATCTGAGGCTCTACATGCATTTGTGTGTGACGCACTAAATGTCCTCCTGCGTCCCATAGAGAGGTCAATATCACTAAACCTGCTTGTATAAATAGACGCAGGCGGCAGCAGTGATAGAGTTATGTAACCGTGGTGTGGGATACTGTCTCTCATTCACTACATGTGGCCTTTTCTTCCTCTTATGTTGCACTCTTTCTGCCTCTCGCTGTCTCTTCCTTCTGTCTCTCCCCTTTCCTCCCCACCCTTTCTCTCTCTGCCCCTCATTGACCTAGTTCAGACTGAACTGGGTTATGAGTCTGTGCGAGCCTTGTTTAGTGTTTGGTGTTATGTCACAGTTGCTGACCTTCATCCACGCTCTGACACGTTTGCACCAATCCTAACCCTCTGTCCTCCCCATCCACGACTCTTCAGGTTTTCCATGCAGGAGATATACGAGGTGGTGGCAGGTGTGGAAAACTACCGCCTCTTTGTTCCCTGGTGTAAGAAGTCTGAAGTGGTGTTCAAGCGAGCTGGATTCTGCAAGGCCAAACTGACTGTGGGATTTCCACCTGTGGTGGAGAACTACACCTCCCTCGTGACTACAGTACGCCCCCACCTGGTCAAGGTAAGGTACTGCCTCCCAGCACATGTTCGCTAAATACAGGGGGCCTCATTTTTATATTATATTAAGAATATTTCAACAACTACTGAAATGTTCAAGTTGATGTGCCATAATATACCAATACAAAACATACAATCTATAAAATCTAGTATTCAAACTCTAGATTCATTCACATTAAGCCATTCGAATTCACTCATTTGTTTTCCCCTGATGAATGAGACACAGCCTATTTGTACATGACTCGTAGGACAGGTCTGGACTTCTTCTGCATTTAGTTCATAAATTTAGTTTATTTCAAAGTCTGAGAAAAATAGTGAATGTCCCTAATACTTGTTCCTACGTGTGGTTCTTGCAAGATGGGTCAGCATTAAGGTTCTTCTATTTGCATTCATTTCACAGATGACAGAGTCAGCTTGTAAAATCAAATTAAGGTCCAGTGTGTACTTTAGGAAGATCTATTGTCGAATGATATACTATTTATAGGTATTTTCATTAGTGTATATATATATATATAATATGAATATAGAACTTATGATTTGTTCCTATATCTACAGAGGAGCGGGTTCCTCTGTCTACGGAGGTCTGCCATGTTGAACTGCCCATGTTTCTACAGTAGCCAGACAGACAAACCAAACACTGGCTGTTGTTTTTTGCTGTCCCAGTAGTTTGTCCTACACACTTACTTTTACTCACTCCCAGGTCGTCACATCCAGAGTGGTGTTCAGTTAGATGCAAACTTCATCTTCAAGGCAAGATGCGACTAAATCCTAAACAAATCCTTCCCCTGTTATTGTCCCTTAAGTCAGTGATTCCAGAGCCAGAGCTGTACATGTACTCTGGTACTTTGAAACAAATCATTTTCAAGGGCATTTATTCATTTATTAGAAATCCATAAAGTTAGTTTTTAATTTGCAATCAATATGTTTTCTATGTTTCTGGTCAGGCTTCCTCTTCAGAGGCGAAACTGTTCAACCACTTGGAGACGGTTTGGCGTTTCAGCCCCGGCCTCCCCGGCTACCCTCGTACCTGCACTGTGGATTTTTCTGTAAGTAGACGCAGTATGCTGACATGCTAAATAAAGACATTTGCTCTGTCTGTGATCACATGTTGGTTTTTCCATGTGTCTGAGCTTGGTGTGTCTGCAGCTGCAAGTGTCATATTTCACATTGGATCAGTTTCAAACCCACACACACACACACACACACACACTGACCAAATTCAGTTGCTAACTTTATCCTCTCCCACCTCCTTCCCCCCTCAGATCTCCTTCGAGTTCCGCTCCCTCCTCCACTCCCAGCTAGCTCACGTCTTCTTTGACGAGGTGGTGAAGCAGATGGTTTCGGCGTTTGAGCGTCGTGCCGCCAACACGTACGGCACAGAGACGGCCATCCCTCGCGAGCTCATGTTCCATGAGGTTCACCACACGTAGTGTCGCCCTCGCTGCACAAATACAGATACACAGACAGACACAAAGCCAATGCCAGAGAGACAAACTAGAGCGTAGAGAGAAAGCAGAGACTACCTGTGTACTTACTGAAAACTGCAGTGCCTTTCTCACAGCAATGACCAAGTTTATCACCCAACAATTTCCCGTCTCATCTTTGTATAACTGATGTGGATCCACCAGCTCATTTTCACCTTGGTGCTAAACGCATGTTTCCATTTCATTTCCATTATCAGAACTTGGAATCTGTGGACTGTTCACAGGTTATGAATGCGTCTCCATGGAAACCATGACCTAGCAGTGCTGCCAGTCATGACTGGTCAAGCGAGTGTGTCATCACATCTGTGAACATAGCTACACTCAGTAGTTAACGCCACTGCTCTAACCACTGCATTGCTACCGCTGGAACAGACGTTAATTCCACAAGCTGCTGCACCTTCCAAAAGCCAGTTCCTATCATTGTTTGTCCCCTTTCCATCAGGGACCAATGGTCAACCATAGGGATGGGACAAATAATGGCAGTACATTGTATATTCTGCTCTGCAAGGGTCAACTCTATTTTTCGCTTCGGTGTGCAGATTTCCCGATGTATAGTAGATGATTGATTTATTTATTGCATATCAGTGTCCAGGTAGCTCATGTACCAAGGCTGAGTTCTTGCTGCAGCGGCCAGTGGCCCTTTGCTGCATGTCATCCCCTCCTTTCTTTCCCCCCTTTCCTGTCACTCTTTGGCTATCACTATGGATTAAAGGCAATAACCCTGTTTTAGCAGGTGCTGCAGAGGCTTAGGTGAAGCTGCTAGATGTTGCGGTGTGGCGATAAAAGATGCAAGACTAAATCTTACATTGTAGTCAGTTTGGATGACATAAAATGTTTATTTTCTCTTAATATAATGTTTTCAAGCGTCATGCAAGAAGTTAGCGTTTCTGTGCAGATTCGGGATTGGAAAACAACTTTGACTTCAGGTGAAGCTCTCTGGTCAGTGGGGACAGTGAGCCGGGAGCTTAGCCAGTTAATTGCTCATCCCAGGTCAACCCCCATTACATGTACAGGTCCATTCGTAATCTCTCATTTACTTGGGTCGCCAGACGCAGGGCATCGCGCTTCCTTCCGACAGCTGACCCACATCTGATGTGAATCTCAGTGGAGAAGGATTATACAGTATTCAGTGAGAGCTTGTCTCACGTGTTATGAATTAGAAAGTGATCCACAGATGGTAATGCCTGCAGAGCACTATCTTAGTCTTCAGGTTCTGCTTGCTACATACTCCTTTTTCAGCAACATAAGATTGTAAAAAGAGTGTAGGGCTGCAACTAACAGTTTTTTCATCACTTATGAATCTGCAGATTATGTTCTTGATGAATCCTAAAGATATTCAATTTAAAGGTGCTTGTTAAAATCACAAACATTCATTCAGGCATTCGTCACTGCTATAGAGAGATCAGTCAGTAACATGGTCTCCCAGTCCCTCCTTCCTGCAGTAAACAGAGAATACACTTCCTGGTATCCAATCAGAGAGAACTCCACAGCAGAATGTCAGTGTGGTGAAGTGGCGAGCAAACTGCAAGAAAGGACAGGAAGTTAGCCACTTTACAGTTTCACCATTACTGTCATATGTGACAAAGGAAAACAGCAAGTCATCACATTTGACAAGCTGGAACCACAGAATGTTTGGCATTTGTGGTTGAAAAATGACTGAAACGATACAGTTAATCAACTGAAATAGTTGCTGATTCCTTTAGATTCAACTAATTGATTATCCGACTAATAGCTGCAGCTCTAGAAACGGTTGGGCATTGGATCCATTGCCCAACAGTGCTGTCAAACCACATTGCCCACAGTTGTGTCAAGAGAGACCACAGGCATTAGTCCCCCCTTACTTGTTCAAACGGTTACTGCAGTGCAACATGCTAATGAGAGTAGCCTGTTCATCATGACACATTTCCTGACCTTTCTGGTTCTTGGTGTACAATGAAAATGAAACCAAGAAACTAACACCATTTCTGAAAACAATAAGGCGTGCCAGGACCAAGCAAAATGCCAGGTCGGGCTAGCAACTCACTTGGCCTGATTTGGTGGTAGAAGTGGTAAAAAGGAATTGAACACGTTTTTTCCGAGCTGATGTTGGAAGTAGCTAAGTAGTGAGCCATCCCGCTTCCCTCACATCTCTGTTGAAAGTTGCACACGCTCAGAACCAAAACTCTATGAGCTAAAGAGCCAGAAAGCATTTCAATATACCTTTTTCCCAGCAGCCAGTTTCACATGAAATAGTAGGGTAAACACAGGTGTTACCAATGATACTAATTAAGGTTCTGATTCTGTGTTTTCCCTACTATTTCATGTCAAAATGGAAAAAGGACTTTTGTTGGGTGGTGTTAGAGGATGTGGGCAAAAAAAAAAGTTTGAGAGCAAGGTGAATAAAACATTGTTTTCAAAGGCACATCAAGTTTCTGAAAGACGATGCAGGAGTGCCGTAACAGGAGCCGACAGCGTCTCACTTGCATGGCAACAAGAAGGGACTATGTTAAAGCAATTTGGATAGGGGCAAGTAAAAATTGACTTTGGGCAGTAGATTGAAGTGAAAAAAACATTGAACCCTGGTCACAAGATAGAAGGTCAGTTATAGCAAAGATGGGTCATTACTTATGCTGCTCGTCCCTCAGGAAGGCAGAGGTTAGAGTGAGGGCAACAGTTCTTTTGTAAGATAATATAAACAGCAATACCTAAGACCAGGATCCAGATAGCATTAAGACCTTGATGATTGACGTATAAATTCATGCAATGTGGCTAATGCACAGTAACTGTGCCCTGTAATATTTGAATGACCCTGTCTCAGCACACACTACCACATACTGTATATTATAAGAATATATTCTAAGAATAAAGGGCAGAGGCAGGTTAGACACTGTCACTGGAATCATGCTTTGGGTTTTCAGTCAGAGGACGTGTAACAATGACTGCAGATAGATGTACTCAGTGTACTGTAAACTATCAGAAATACACACCTTTTTAAGGGTGCTGAACTTTGACTTCACTTTATTTCTCAGTAGGGGACTCTGTCTGTTTTTTCCTCTTTTTTCTTTTCTTTTATGGATTCTTTACGTTACATACGCTATGCTCTCGTCATTATTAAGGGAGCAATGCTGGACATAAGAGTTGCTAAATTATACAGCGAAGTGTGCAATATCAGCAGTGTAAGTGTTATTTTTTAAATGCAGCTATAGCAAACATTATATACCAACTGTCAATACAAGGGCCCAAACTGGCTGGCAAGGCAGAGGCCAGGTCACACACCTTGACCTGGGCTGTCAGTCAGATGCTGTTTCAGTGAGGAATCTGCCGTGCTGAAACCTTCACGCTTCCAACTGTCCAACCCACATCACTCAGAGTGCCTCCTGTCCTACTGGCAGCATATTTATCTTTATTTTTAAACATTATACTCCTTTTATCATATTTATTACTTAGTTTTAAGTGTAAATATTGGTGTAAGAAAGACCTATACACTGCTTTTAAAGAAAAGTGTCTGTTTCATGGGATGGAGAAAGGGCTTGTTCTGTAAATGATGTTTGTGTTGAATGACTTCAGAAAGATGTACCGACTGCATCATTTGTAAACTATTTTTTCTAAAAAATAAAAAAAACCTGACTTGGGTTTTTTTGGGTGTTAATTTCTCAACATGTCTACAGAGTGGTTCATGGTCCCCATTGACCGGACAGAAATAGGGTCATCATGTGAGTGGTAAGAATAGACCTGCCTGAATGAAGCACGGCTGCATTTCAACTGTCGGTCATAAGGTTTGGAAATGTCACTGCTTCAAAGTTTAATTCAACGCTTACGGCTTTCCAGTATTCCCCGTGCCCTCTGACCCGCATTGTTAAAGCAAAGTCAAATGTTATAATCAGGGTAATAGATAGAGGGAGTAACAGGATCCCTGAAACAATTCTTAAATTAAATGTTACCGACAGGAAATCAATTGATGTTCAAGTGTTACTGGAACACAGAGCAAGGAGGGGTGTGACTTAGGGTCAATTCAAAAACTTAAGACATTTATACAAATATTCTGCTTGGAATAATGTGACTGATAGGTTCATTTCTAACGTTTCTACGTCACGCTGTAGAAGTTGCATACTGGACTGGGGACTTCAGTTACATCTTAAACACAAAATAAGTGTTTTTAATTGAACAGATTTACTGAAATAATGAACAAAGGCAGGTGTGGCTGAACATACAGCCCCCTCATTTTTCATCACGTCACTGTGACACAAGAATCAAACCACAAGGTCCATTCAGTAGCTGATCAGGAGCTCTTGACCTTATCACATGATCTTTTATTGGCAGATAGTTGTCCAGTTGTCATGGGACTGTAGAAATTGTTTTTTTCAGACCACTTAAAAGACTAAAATGATCTTCAGCAGTCTCTCAGTTTTCATCTGCTGATGAGAATCACGTATGTAATAATCCTCAAAAGCTCCTGCTAATGATCATATGATTGAAAGCTCCAGATCAGCCACTAAATGGACCTCGTGTTCTGATCGTTATCAAAGCAGCTGTTCCCATGGTTGAGAATAAACTTTCCACCTCAGCTAATGAACAGTAATGTAAGTATTGTGTAAAAAGAACTCAAATAACAAACACATCTGAACAATTGATTTATTAAATTAAAAAAAAAAAATCTAAATCACCATTAATCATGTCTACATTGTACAAAACACGAGTTGAATGATCACTGCCATTTGCCAAAGAAACGACATCCTGGAAAAGAAACACCACCTACTGTGTTTTATGCAATATACTGTAGGTTACCTGCTTGGGCGGCCACTTGAGACTCTTAGTTAAAGCAGAGCGTATGAGGGGGGACGTGCGAGCCGTGTCACACAAATAAAGGTCAATGTTTAACAGCACAAGAACACCACAGGTTTTCACATTTAGACTTTGTAGCAGAGTCCTGGAGTGGTCCAAACTGGTTTGTAACTTGAGCCCTACCTCACCACCCTGTCCCAACTCATCCCAGCCCTCTCACTTACAATCAGCCATATACACTGTGATATCAATCTGCAGCTGATCCTACGGGGCTGACTGCGAGAAGAAGAAGAAAAAAACAACTCACAATGCTGCATGTGTGAAAAGGACTCCCAAAAGACGTCTCGGTAAACATAATTTCAATTGACATGGTTTTAAACAGGCACTCAGGCACTCTTCATCCAACTGTGGTCATGTACAAAGGGAACAGGCGACATCACCAGACATACAATGTGATGTCACTTCAGAGACAAAGTGAGAAAATGGTCAAGCTCTGTAAGAAAATTGGTTTAATTAAATCAAATGACAGACTTAAACCAACACAATAGCTCGGAAAATAAACATGACAGATATAAAAACGAAAAACAATTAACAAAACACTATGACGAAAATAAAAAGACACAATCCTGACTAAGCGTCTGCTCTCTGCGGCAATACAGAGCATCATCAATGTGTACACTATGTTAGTTTCTTCTTAGACGACTTTAATCATCGTTACCTCTCACAGCGATGGAAATCTTTTTTACATGAGTATGACTTCAGTGCACATGTTGATGGCTGATTGAACAGAGTCATTAGAGTAGAGGTCTGGGGAGGATTCTGGTGTAGTAACTGGGCTTGATGGGTCTCATCCTCAGTTTTTTGAGCAGACTGGGTGACTGGGACAGAGGAGCACAGAGTCAGACCAGGCTGGCTCCTCCCAGAAACCCCGGTTGAACAGGCAGGAAGCAGAATCATATGAAGTGGTGGGAGGGAGGGGGGGTGTCATCAACTATTTGCAGCTCCAGCATACTCATGGCCAGTCGGTCAGTCTGTAGGGCAAAGTTTGGTGGAGGTGGGTGCATGTTCTTGGAGGGCCGTGTTCCTCGGCCACCCCCAGCACCACTCTGCCTATTAGTCTGTACAGCAAGTCAGGAGGATTGGCTTAGAAACCCATGCCGCCTCCCATGCCGCCCATGCCGCCCATGCCACCCATGCCGCCCATGCCACCTCCTGGCATCTCCTTCTCCTCCTTGGGTATCTCTGTAACTACGGCCTCGGCAGTGGAGAGCAGGGACGCAACTCCTGCGGCGTCCAACAGGGCCGTCCTCACCACCTGTACGGGGAGCAAATACGAGGTTACAGCGTTTATAGGTTAAGTGTGTGATTCTGCATGGATACAATACATTAGATGTCTTTGACAGCAAAAAAAAATAAATCTTTACATTCTGGTGCTAATTTTTCTTTTTGAATGTTTTAAACTCAAATTCCTACATCAGCTCTTTTAACTCCACTACACATCCACAGTCAATGTACCTTGGTGGGGTCGATGATGCCCTTCTCCACCATGTTGACGTACTCTCCCTGCATGGCATCGTAGCCCAGCTCAGCTGATCCCTGCAGGATCTTCTCCACGACTAGAGAACCCTCCACACCTGCATTCTTAGCGATGGTCATGGCAGGGATACGGAGTGCCCGTCTGATGATATCCACACCTGTTCGGAACAAGGAAGAGAGGAAATCGGTTTTATGAAAACAACGTAGAAAGTGAATTACTTTCTACACAAAACTCAAGTTATGTTTGAAAGATGGTCGACTTCACTGGTACCATCAACCCAGGGATATGGTCATGTCAGTAAAGGCCCTTTCAATTTACATTTTGACTCGTCTGTCAGCAGTTTTCAGCAGTTGAAAAGGCATACTACTCAGGTCTCCCTGACACGGATCTCATCAGATCAGAGTGAAGATGTTAGAATAGACACTAGATAATGTTGTTTTCAGACATTTGAGCCAATGCGTGTGCTCTACTAACCGATCTTCTGGTCAGAATTGACAGTTTTCAGGGTATCGAGGGCGGGGATGCAGCGCAGCAGGGCACAGCCTCCACCTGGTACAATGCCCTCCTCCACAGCTGCCCGGGTGGCATTCAGAGCATCCGTCACACGGTCCTTCTTCTCATTCACCTCCACATCACTTGTTCCTCCGATCTGAAATGGAGAGCATGCGTCACAGCTTTGTTTTTCCTGCAGTGAAACTACGGCCATCAGCCATCAGTAGCGCCTGCCTTTCTGTTGGAGACGTACCTTGAGCACAGCCACTCCATCGGACAGCTTGGCCAGCCTCTCGTTGAGTTTCTCCTTCTCGTAGTCGCTGGTGGTGCTCTCCAGCTGCTCGGCAATCTCTGCCGCCCGTTTCTCAATTTCAGCTGCGCTGCCGCCTCCCTTCAGCAGCAGGGTGTCATCTTTGGTAATCTGCACCTCACCGACCTTGCCAAAGTCGTGAGCCTGGATGTCTTCAAGAGCCAGGCCCAGAGACTCGTCTCCAAAAACCTGGAGAAAGCAACAGATAAATACATTTAGTATTCACATCCCAAACTGAACTCTAGAGGTTCATAGAATATAGCACAGAAATGATCAGGTTACTTTATACTGGACTTACAGTGCCTCCAGTGGCGACAGCCATATCCCTCAGCTGATTCTTCCTGTTGTCTCCGAAGCCTGGGGCTTTCACAGCCACCACCTGAAGCCCAACCTTGAGCCTGAAAATGACATTCATTTCCTACTTTTAGTTCTTGTTCAGTCACTTTCTTCCAAGTAAAATGATCGTTTGGATAATCTATTCAAGCTAAACTCTGAGCCACATTTTAGCTGGTTAAACAGGTACCTTGTGAAGTTTTTAATCACTAGGAGCAATGGTTTTGCAAGTTGTTTCACATTATTCCAATAGTGTACAGGTGGCAGTAATGCACCAAGCAATGGTGATCTTTTGCAAGAGCAGAGAGGAAAACTGCAAGCTACTACAGAATGCATTTGCAAGTGTTTTAGGAAGGAAATGCATCCAACAGGTGAGTGAGTCCTCATGGATTCTGCTAAGTACTGAATGTAAACGTTTGTTTGCTTACAAGAAAACTCCACAGGGCACCTTTAAGTGGGATCAGGAATCAAACACGTACCTGTTGAGAACCAGGGTGCTGAGGGCCTCTCCGTCCACATCCTCAGCCACAATAACCAGTGGTTTGCGGTGCTGGTTGGCAATCTCCAGGGCTGGCACAATGCTCTGCACACTGGAGATCTTCTTCTCGCTCAGCAGCAGGTAGGCATCCTGGAACTCACACTTCTGGCCTGGAAACGAGATAACAGATTTAGCGCGGTGTTTCCTTATAGGTAAATACGAGGACAGGAAGTGTTTGATAGACATGTTCAGCAAACTGCCAGTATAAGCAGCCTCACCTTTGGCAGTGTTGATGAAGTAAGGGGAGATGTAACCCCGGTCAAACTTCATACCCTCAATGATCTCCAGCTCATCGTGCATAGTCTTCCCATCCTGAGATGTAAAGCATGTACTGATTACTCTAGTTCCAGGTTAATGCACTCCAGAAGCAATCAGAGCAGTAAACAAATCTGTTAATGCCTGTAAGCGAAATTCTGAAACTAACCTTGACAGTGATGACTCCCTTGCGGCCAACTTTCTTCATGGCGTTGGATATGATGTTTCCAATCTCCACGTCGCCATTGGCTGAGATTGTAGCAACCTTAAATACCAAGAACATTATTAAATACACATTCAAGATACACAGCTACTCATCATTTCTATAAATGTATTACTAATTGTGTTTACCTGTGCGATCTCCTCAGGGGTTGTGACTGGCTTGGAGAGCTTCTTCAGCTCATTAATGACGGTTTCTACAGCCATCATGACTCCACGGCGGATCTCCACAGGGTTAGCGCCTTTGCTGATGGTGTCGAAGCCCTCCTTGGCGATGGCCCGAGCCAGAACTGTGGCGGTGGTAGTGCCGTCGCCGGCCTCCTCGTTGGTGTTGTTGGCCACATCCTGCACCAGCCTGGCGCCGATGTTCTTGTACCTGTCCTTCAGGTCGATGCTCTTGGCCACCGTCACGCCGTCCTTGGTGACCTTAGGGCTGCCCCAGCTCTGCTCAATGATGACAGTGCGACCCTGGGAAAGAGACAGAAAGTGGTGAGATACGGTAATAACCCAGAGAGTGGATTCGTTACAAAATATGAAGCCTTATTACCTTTGGGCCCATGGTGACAGCCACAGCATCAGCCAGCAGGTCCACTCCCTGCAGCATGAGGGCCCGAGCATCAGCTCCAAACTTTACATCCTTGGCATAGGCGCGTGTGAGGTGAGGAGCCAGCGCCCTGCACACAGGCCTCACCTGCCTCATGACTGTCGGTAAACGAAACATCTCTATAGGAAGTAAAGAGAGAGGGGGATTTATGCGTCTGAGACCACGTCTTCCATCAGTACAGTCAAGGCTTCATCACTAATGAACCTGAGGTGTCCAATTAAATCTGCAGAACGATTGTGTGTCTTTGTGTAAAGGGCTGTTTTCAGAATCTGAATTGAAAATATATGTGATGTGTCAGCTTATAAAGCACACCGAAATAATGATTCTCCAAACCCATCCGTCCCTGCCCTCAACTATCACAGGAGGACACATTGTATGTACAAAGGTTGCCCCTAGTGGTCACTGGTGGTATGACGTGCCACCGGTGAATGAATGAATGAATGAATGAATGAACCTCCACTTATAGGATGGTGAGTTCTGTAAGTCACCTTCTACAAAAAGGTGCACTTATAACCAAAAGAACATGTCACAGCAAAGCTTATGTTTGCAGGTGCATTATGGGGTAGATAAAGTTTCACAGCACCACACTAACTAAACTCATCCCAGAACTAGGAGTAAGCTGGCTTTAAATGCTACTAATGTATGTAAATTGTATTTAAAAATCAGACCACATAAGTACATTCAATCTGACCACAACTAGCTTTTTGTACAGGTTAGTGTGTTGGCTACTTTCTCAATTATTCAATTAACTGTTCAGTAAATTAAAATATATCAGCACACAGGGGAAATAGTCATCACATTATAGACAAAATCCCAAAGGTGGTCATTTGACACCCATATAAATACAAATAGGAGTTAATTCTTTCATGTGAGAGGCTGGAATCAAGGACTGTTGTAGAAATGGTTATTAAAAAAAAATCTAACATTTGTTCTGTCCTTTCCAACATACTGACATAAAAAAAGACAAGAAAAGCTGCGGCCATGTCCCAAGCCCCCTCAGGAAAAACTGTCACCGTTGGCTTCAATATGCATGCAAATATCCAATCAACCCTTTTTTTTTTTAAACACTGATCTTTTTCTGGACTGATCATGAAGAATCGGACTTAGATTTATTTATATACGGGCCTCGATCGTGACCGGATTATGAAACGTATCCCCAAACCAGTTCCTGGTTACCCCACGTGTGCGCTTCAGGTCGTGCGTCACAAGGTCAAATTGTGAAAAGCATGTGTGGAAGCGGCTCACCATCCCTGCTCAGCACACTGCCACACTGTCTGATCAGACCCTGCGCAAACATTGTATGCCTGTCGACAGAGTCTTAGTAACGGCACTCTTCCTACATTGTCAGCCAAGTTGTCCACAGCGCTGCAGTCGGGCATGACACCAATAAGTCAGACACGAGACAGTCCTGATTAAATAAAACTCAATATCCGCTTACAGAGAAGCTTCGCTAGCTAGCTACCGTCTGTAGTGACTTTTTAGCGGTGTGTCCTTGCAGTTAGGAAGACAATGTGTTAGCCAGGAGTCCTTTAAGCTAGCACTGCTGGAGAGTGTCTCCTCTTGGCTCACATAAACTCTTCCACCAAAAGCCAGCGCTGGTTCAAACGCAGCCTGTAATGTTAACTACGTGTCTTTAAAGACGTTAGAAAATGTCAGCACTTACTTTTGAGGTAAAAGGCTGGAACCGGCTACACGGTGCTCGTCTGCGAGACGGAATGGTAACGACTGGACGTAGGGACAGAGGTACGGAGCAAATAACTGCTGCGATGGGACTGCACATGGCCCATCACATCCGGGTAACTTACCGGCGCGCCCGGGAATCTGAATAAACAGCAAACTAGTTTAAATCATTCTTATATTACTGTCTTACTACAGAAACAAGCTCACGGGCTGCACAAGATTATAGTTATCTATCAATGTGAGTCGTAAGTTACATTTACATACAATTATTTATGATTGGTAGTACATAATACGTGTCAATGCTCGTTCCCGGGCAGGCCATTCTAGAATTTTCGCGTGTGCCATTGGAGGAAAAAAAGAAAGGTCAAAGTTGACATTGTGCAATATTGCTCTGACTTGGAATCTGTGAATAACAGAGAAATAACCAAACTGAGTTTTAAAATCCACCCGTTCATATTTTCGTGTCGTGGAATGATACGTGTAAACGGAAATACGTGCTCTTACATTTAATTGAGTGTACTAGAATTTTCTGTTTAGGTAACGAATCAGCCTTCAGGGTCAGGGCAGGTAGTGCGCATGCGCAGAATCCTTCTGGATATTTCTTCACGTGGAGTGATTCCCCTTCAGTGTGTCAGATCCACGCTCACGAGGAAACCGGGGTGCAGATCCACGCCGACTCTCACACATCCAGAAATGGTAAGACTAAGACACTCTGTCGCTCTCTGTAACGGACACTACAGAGTCCTATCCACCGCCATTAACGCAGTGCTAACATACCGCTAGCAGCTAACGGTAATGATACGTTACTTTAACATCGATTCACAAGGTCAAGCAGTTAGGAAGCCGACTGAGAGGTAGGTGGGTGAGGTGGGGGATGGGGGTTTATCTCATGATACACTGTATTAAACATTAGAGGAGAAGACAGGGGACTCTTACTGTAGCTCTCTCTGTCGGTCAACCTGCCGCTGCAGCTACACACTCAGTGTAAATGTTAACTGATGTGAGTGTGAGTGTGAGTGGCTCTATCGGCAGACAGACATCAGGGATCCGACAGATGTGCTGAGGGATGAATGCTTTAGCCCTGTCTGTCTCTGACATTGGTCAGTGCAGCAGTCACATGTGGATGAACAAAGCACAGACAGACCCAGTGTTCTGACTAGTCTGCTGCTTAAATCTTTAAACGGTCTTATTGTTACCTGTTGGTTATGTTTCTGTCACACGGCTCTGTGCATGCCCTTGGTCAGTGAAAAATATGAATTACATGCACGTTTAAATCACTTCCGGCTTCCGCTACGTACACTGTGACCTCATGACCTATCCGTGCACAGCGCATGTCCGACCCGACCCTTGTAACATGCAGCTGAAATAGCCTCAACAGTAAGCTCATGTGGGATATGGCTCTTTTTATTTGACTGTAGATGTTCATTTAGGATTAGGATAATTGATGGAGTTGATTTTGCAGTAATGCTGACAGCACTAAGTACTGCTAGAATACCAGAATATTATATGAATAAGAACAAAGGTTTCCAGTTTATTAGGTCTATCTAACTAAAACCTCCAACTGCAATCCATTCTGTCCTTAAGGAACACTATAATGTTCAGCTTTATTCGATTGATTGAACTTAAAGGTCAATTTGGAGGCTGTCATTTGTGGTGCTGTTGAACTGTATTGTGTTAACCTTCATTGACATGAATGGGGTGGACAAATATTAGAAACACTGCAGAATAACATCCAGGGCTTTAAAGATTAGTAAATTGAAAGAAAATGAGTTGCCAACTATGACAATCTGACAATTTTTGTCTTTTTTTCAAGCAAAAATGTCAAACATTTGCTGCTTCCAGCTTCTTAAATAGGATTACTTGCTACATGTCTTGTCATTTATGACAGTAAAAGAAGGGTTTTTCCGTTTTGGGCTGTTGATTGGCCAAAAGAAGCTATTTGAAGATGTCATGTTGGGGTCTGGAAATTGTGATCAGCATTGTTCTTTCTGTCTTTAAAAAAAGTCAGAGAATGTGAGTTTGACCATCAGTCCGTCTGTATCGCACCGTCACTACCTCATGAAGTACTACAGAGAGAACCTTCTGGAAAGCTGCACAAACAGGCCTTGAGCGTTATCTTGCAGTGTTAAAAACCTTGATGACATTTCACCACCACTCGAGGCTGTTACCATAGCTCCCCTAAAATACCAGGATGCCTCTGTGTTACCATCAAAGTATATTTTTTAATCAGTAGTCCTGGTCCCTCCCTGCCGGGGGTTAAACAGTCACAGTGAATAAGTAACTCCTCTCTCCCAAACAACCTTCACCCAAGGTCACTCGTACATCTGCTGTTATCAGACTGTTGGCAGCTGGTGTTTTAAATCTTACAAAGCTGCTGTCCTACCTCATTCGTCTGCTGCTCGTAACTTTACACACACACACACACACACACACACACCGGCTGAAGTATTTGAAGTAATGGTGAAAGGCTGACTTTCGTTATACTGAGTTTTGTAATAATTGACATCACAAAGGCTGCCTCTGTGAGGGAGCCGCTCATTTATTGTTTAGACACCGTCTTTACTTAAGCTCTTTTGTCACTCAAGACAGCCCCCTTGTGGTGGCATTGGGTGCTTAAAGCAAATATCAAGGCTTTAGTTGGTTGTGTAACAAAAGAACATGTTCTTTGATGTAACTGATATTACTGGCTAACATCCTCTCTTTGTGGTCACTTGCAGGCCTTCAGAAAATTCCTCCCCCTGTTCGACCGCGTGCTGGTGGAGCGCTTTACTGCAGAGACGGTAACGAAGGGGGGCATCATGCTGCCAGAGAAGTCTCAAGGCAAGGTGCTGCAGGCCAAGGTCGTGGCAGTAGGGCCTGGTGCTGTCAATCAGGTGATAATCCATTTACCATGGTACTAGAGAAAATATGAGACACAGGCAAAGCTGCTTTGAGGAATGTGGGGTTTTATAGTTGGTTTTGGCTCTGAGAATTCTTCTGTAACTCTCGGTGTGGTGTTTTTTTTGTTTTTTTTTTCTAGAAAGGGAACCTACAGCCCGTCAGCGTGAAGGTTGGAGAAAAAGTACTCCTACCAGAGTACGGTGGAACTAAAGTCAGTCTGGACGACAAGGTGCACTACAGTTGACTTTTAAACTTTTAATCTGTTTAGATTTGTTTCCTTTTTGCCCTGCCTTGCTTAATTTCTTGTTTTCTCGTTCTATCCTCCAGGACTATTTCCTGTTCCGTGATGGAGATATCCTCGGTAAATACGTTGAATGAGTCTTCATCTTTTTGTTGCTGTAGAAAATGTCAAGTCCCTGTCATCCCTGGAGAGAAGAAATTAAGTTGCCTCTTTCATGTCTCTTTTACTTTTTTTTTTGTTATTACAACTGTAAATAATTCTAATCACATTTTGTTACAATAATAAAGGTGAACTATTAAATATTGTCTCAATGATTTCCTCTTACTCTTGCAGTTAATATTCAGTATACCTGTGATAAATGAAGATATTCTAATGTCAGGGTTAACTTACTAGCTTTCTCCTGTAGCTTGTGACTGTATCTCTACACTACATACCACTGTTAGGACAAGATGAGTGCCACATACACTAGATCCATCAAACACAAATGGACATGACTCGCCAAGAACTATTTACTGTTCAACTGTCAGAGTGGGATTAACTTCTTAGGAGGCCCCATGGCAGATGTGTTCTTTTGGGCCCCTTTGATGCAACCTGCGGGTCTCTGCATTGTTTCTATTTGGAATTGATCTCAGTTTATTGACAATGACCAGTAACAAAGCAGAACCTCCATGTAAACAAAAGGCAGAACTTATTGTCATTCTCTCCATATATAATATTCATTATACAGGGGGACAGAATTCTGTGTTCAGTGCTATGGTTTACACAGTAAGGACAAATTTAATTTAAAAAAGCGCAAAGTATCATAGTCAGGGGTGGTGCCGGTAAGTAGTAAAACTTTTTTGTAAATTTGCAATAAATTACAAAAAAAAATCGATAATTGATAAATAGTGGACCTTGGACTTTTGGGGCCCCTGGGGATGTAGGACTTTGGAACTGTTGCTTGTTTTTCCCTGTTGGCAACCCCTGTGTAGTTTAATCCCTTTATTGTGTAGTTTAATATTTAACAATGCATCATGTTTTATAAATGGGTCATGTTTTACATGTGCTGCCTTTATCTGCAGTGTAACTGATTTATAGCAGCAGAGTAAAAAGTGGAATAATTGTCTCAGAAATGTAATGTACTATCAGTCAAAAATATAACCAAATACATCAATAAATAATACAGTTAAGTAAATACAATGTGAAAAAAGAAATTAAAAGGTTTATATGTTTTAAACCCAATCAGCCATTTTATTTTTCAAAAACTCATTTAATGTTTTACTATTTTTTGTTCTTGGCACATTTGTCAAGTATTTCATTTTGTTTGTTACCACAACTTTCCTCGTGTTTATATGAAATGGGATGTGTATGTCTACAGTGGCATATTGCTGCCACGGCAAAAAAGAAAAACGGATAAGTTTCAGCTTATAACCCAATGTTTTTCACATTAGAACAAGATATTTTCATATTGCGTAATGTAACAATTCAACAATAACATAATGACTTATATTGGTATAATGACACGTTTTAACTATATAAGCTTACAATTATAATACAATAAATAGTAGGGTATATTGTAACAAAAAACTTCTATGTCATAATAAAGTGATGATGGTAAAGTGAAAATATTTTGTAATTAGGTGAAAACATCTTGTTCTAACAAGAAACCTTTCATGTTGTCATGTCTGTTATAATGTAATAGGTTGCTGAGTACGCCATCTCTTTTAAAAGTCAGAGAGCCTATCCTGATTTTACTTCTGAAGTTTCTTTTACTTCCTAAATGTTTTTCTTGTTTATCTGCTGATGACACTTTGTAATGTTGGTTTTTAAAAGTGCTCTATAAAGAGTTTGTGTAACGTGAAAATGTATTGTTATAATGTGAAAAACATTAACAATACATATTGTAAATAAATGTGTCACTATATTGTGATACTATTGAGTTTTTCTTTTTCTGGCATGGTAACAGTAGGCTGCCATGTCCCAGATCCTTTACTGCCTTTTGACGGTGCCGGTACTCCATAGTGCAAGTACAAATGAGCTTCAATGGAAATACTCAGTGCCTCAGATGCGTCGTTAAATATAGTACACGAATAATGAATGTGTGTTCAGTTAAAGTCAACCGCTCCTAACCTATAATCCCATCTGAGCCTGCCGCTTCGTGCTCTGATCATATCCGAGTCCGCTGCTACAACACAGCGGCTGACGAACATCCGGGTATTCTGTCGAGATGGTCATGGCGGAGGGTACTGCAGTTCTCAGGAGGAATCGGCCTGGAACCAAGGCAAAGGTGCGTTTCAGCCAGCAGCAACACACGAACACTACTGCAAATGAGCTCCCATCACTTCGCGATGCCGTCTCATTTGAGTCGTGTTGCTTTACCACATGCCTTTTGTCGACAATTCTCGCAGACAACATATAGGAAGGGCCTGACCTGGAAATGGCCAGCTAGCTAACGTTAGCTGTTGCTCCGTCTAGTTCCTGGAGCGTTAACGTTAACTTAAATGGCTGTGGCTTTTTAGTCTACATTTCGGAGTCCCGTGTGACAATCATTGTAGCTTTAAATAACATTTAGCCAAATTGGTGAATGAAGTTCTCACACTACCCTTAAACAAACAGCCGTTGCTAACTTACAACCTAGCGTAACGGCTCTCTGAACTGTTTGCTTTGCAGGAAGCAGTCGCACCCCAGTTGACGTTATCTAACGTTAATTAACGTTAGCTAGTGTCAGCTTAGCTTCGGAACTGTGAGTAATGTGGAAAAACAAGAGGCTACTGACTTTTACAACATGGTATTCTCTCTGCAGAGCTTTGGTTGTAACCAAACTTAGCTAGCGTTAGCTTCTTATACGTCATTTGTCAAACAAAGCTAACGTTAGCTACCGTTAGCTGTATGTTGGGATGATAGTGTTGTTGAATCGTGTTATTGAACGCCGGATGACAGCAGTGTCTATGCTACAGCGCTAAGTTAGCTCTGTCCACTCTGAGTGCACACTCTAATTGTCCTTCCTTCATGTATAGGATTTCTACAACTGGCCGGATGAATCATTTGAGGAGATGGACAGCACCCTGGCTGTCCAACAGGTGTGTTGTCATGTCGTCTGTCAGTCAGTCTGTGTTCCCCAACCATTTGGTCTATTTAGAAGTGTCAGGAGTGCACGGTGGTATCTACGGTAGCCGAGAACGGCCGTCTTTCAGTAATTTTTTTTTAAAGCCATTATCTCCGGTTTACAACTTAATTATTTAGTTATCTCGAGCAGTCTGCCCTTTGTGTTCTTGATTCCTAACAAGGAAACAAAAGGTAGAGAGAATTTATCAAGAGAGGAGAAATAAGGAGACTTCCAAAATGAATGTGTTGTCGGTCATGGTTGTGAGTCATCTCTTCTCTTCTCTTCTCAGGTGATGATCAAAACGTCCTTGATCTGACATTTTCAGTTTAAATGAGTTGTTAAGGTTGTCAGAATGCCACCTTTGTATGCTGGCATGGCACTCTCCAACAAACCTTACAAATAATAAGATGTTTTCATGTGATAATAGTTTGTCTCGTTTTCTTGTGATAATGAAATCATTAACTTGTGATCTTGATAACGGCATTGAAAAAAAATTACAAGCGTGGCGTTCTTGGCTTCAACACCATGATTTCCATTAACTTGCTATATACGTATGAAGGTCCTTTTACACAGTACTTAATGTAATCAAGGGTTGGGTGATTATTATCTTGAGCATAAACAATCTTTAGTAATGTGAATATGGTTGTTCATTTCAGTCAGCCCAATAAGTTCAGAAAAGTCTAACTACTTGAAGGACAAGTTCACATTGTGTTAGGTGTGTCCTAACACAATGTCCACATGTACACTAAGAACAGGAGGAATGTTCGCTGTAATGATTGTTCCTGTTCATACTTGCCATGAAGAGATCCCTTTCTGATACTATTCCATTGTAAGCGATAAGGGGCACATCCACAGTTCTTACTCAGTGAGAGGATGTGTTCCTAACCTCAGCTGAGATGTCTGAGGCTTCAGGAGTTGGAAATCAAGTGAGTATTTTCCAAAGTTGCAGTCGGAAGATGCCCACCAATTTGTCCAGGGTCCAACCTCACGTCTGGGGTTGGCTAAATTTAAAGAGTATGCTCCTCATAGGTTACATTACCTCACGTTGTAATGTGGTTGTTTTTCAGGTAGAAAGATGTATAAAATATATTTTTCTTGTTGTTGGTTACATGCAAAGAAACACACGCTAAATTACCTCATAAACATAAACTGCAGCTGATGTTAGACTGTTATTGAAGTTAACAGTTAGAGTGCGTTAACCATATAAAGACATATAAAAGCATGTCAAACTAATTGGAATATAAAATCTCTGCATAAAAACTGAAAACTGAACTGCACCTTTACTTCACTGACTCACAATATACAACAAGCTAATCCTTAATGTTAGCATACTCCTTGCTTCACATGTTGCTAATTTTGAAATACTCATGTTGGTTAGAACCATCTTTGGAACGGACTAAAGATGAAGTTGTACATGCTCAGAAATACCTGAACATTTCACTGCCTTTGTGGCTTTGGTGGATTTTATTTGACTCACAGCAGATTCTCTACACAGAAGATGTGGTTTCCCTCTCATTGTGAGGCTCCCTACTCTTCCCATTGGCTCGCAGGTCCACAGGTTGCCAGATAGTAGGTCTGCAGCCGGGACCCTTTGACCGACTCCAAGTAGCTTCAACTAAACGTTCGATTACATTTTGTGCAGAATGAGGACTGTGGCTTTTGTCTGTATCTTTAACATTGGAGTTGTCTTAGGATCTCTTCAGGCAGTACAAAGTGCAGAATGATTGCAATGACCAGTAACTGCGCTTGAACATATACTTTGACAGTAATGGGCCTTTTAAAGATCAGGAAATCCCATTAAGGTGATTTTACAATCCAAATCTCACACTGTCTGCTTTCATCACACAGTGTTTATCTTCCTCCAGTTGTGAAGCCTTTTAAAACGTATCTTTATTTTAGTTTCCCAGAAATACGCTGGCAATATTAATTACACTGGCATTGTGGCTTACAAGTGTGTTATGGACATATCAAGCTGATGAAGATTGCATTGCAGTGGCTGAGGGAGGGTCTCTACTAAAGTGTGTTTGATGGCTCTGTTTCAGTACATTCAGCAGAACATAAGATCAGATTGCTCCAATATCGACAAAATCCTGGAACCTCCGGAGGGCCAGGATGAGGGGGTGTGGAAGTACGAGCACCTCAGGTATGTTCAGTTCATTTCTTCATGTTCTTTTACACTCAAAATAAAAAACGAGTGTCTACTTATGAATGACATTGGCAACCAGGATGCTGGAAAAGATAGATTCTCAACATAATGAGGGGAACAACAAGTATGATGAATGAGGATTTAAGGAGGGAGGGATAGATGGATATGAGAGAGAGAGTGGGGTGCAATACAGATGTTTTCAGCCCTCAACTAACTCCTTCCCAAACATTGTGTTTAAATCTTAAAGTGTAGTTTAATCTGAATCTCATCTTTCTGCTGCTCTTTCTCTGTCCTCTTTGTAGGCAGTTCTGCCTGGAGCTCAACGGACTAGCTGTCAAACTGCAGGTAGGTGATCCAGCTCACCAGGTATACAAACTGTATTAAGGATCGTGTCAAAAATAAAATGAGTAGGGAGGGGCAACTGATTTTATTAATACCAAAACCATTTTTAGTTCTTCTTATTGGTCACATTGTTTATTGATTCCTGATACATTTTCTGTGTGGGGAAAAAAGTAGGCCTACACAGGTGCTTCAGTGTCAACAACACTCTGTTTATGTTATCTCTGAGAGCTGAACACAGTGTGAAGGGGGGGGTGGCTCTGTAGCAAACCAGATTATCTAAGCAGTGGATGGAAAGACTTTCTTTCAAATTCCTTCCTTCAATTTTCAATTTCAGCAGTCCTGGAATTTAAGCCCATGCTGCGAGAAATATGATTGAGCTAATGTTTCCAGCCTTACTGAACTGATCCTTTGACTTTAAAATGAGCACTGTTGTCATCTTTCTTTGTGAAATGAAGCCGTGGACCGTTTCTTCCTTTTCACCATGACTCCTTCTTGCAATCTGATGTCATTGTTTTGCAACACACAACTGTCAGAAAAACATTTTCAATAAATAATCAATAAAAGTAATTGATAGGCTCAGAGGCATACAATTCCAATGGAACAGACAATTTGGATTCACTTCTCAACTGGAACCGGTTCTCAATATCTTTAACTGGTGTTTATAGAGTTACATGTTTTCAGACACGTTAGGAAATGTTAATATGCAATATCTCTTAAAGGGAGTTTGGCCCAGGGAGCTTTTAGTTTATTTCAAACTGCAAATATGTCTTAATTCTTTACATTTTAGTCAGCACTACAGGAACACTGCTAACATATGATGATGTCTAGTTCTGTACAAAAGCAATCACAGCTAATATCAGGGTTGTTGTCTCACAACCAAATTTAAGACTTCTGGATTAATTTGCGCTGAAAGAGATGAAAGAACAGGTACGTCCTCCTGAAGAGTGCTTGAAAAGTATGTTCATTTTGACTTTGTGTCGGTGTAAAGTCAGCTGTAGTGATGCTCGTCTTTCCTCCTTCAGAGCGAGTGCCATCCAGACACCTGCACCCAGATGACAGCCACGGAGCAGTGGATCTTTTTATGTGCTGCCCACAAGACACCCAAAGAGGTGAGTCAGCACTGTGGTTTCACTCCGTCCCCCTCTCTGTTACTACATGTACCAGTCCCTAAGTGTGATTGATTTGTCTCTGCCTTTGTGTGAGGTAGAACAGAAACTTTGCTCTTACTGTCACGTATGTGTGTGTTCTGTGCTGCTGCATCCACAGTGCCCTGCCATTGATTACACCAGGCACACGCTGGACGGAGCTGCCTGTCTTCTCAATAGCAACAAATACTTCCCCAGCAGGTCAGTCGAGGTCCTCCTTAAACGTGCAGTAACTGATGATTGTGGCCACATTGCTGTCAGAGTCAGGGGAAAGACGGATAACGTTGCACTCTTGTGGAGCTGCTTGTGATGTTGCAAAAGTAGTTGTGTTGTAATAAAAGTGCAGTAGATGTAGTTTTCCACAGCTACCATTGTCTGCTTTGTCATTCTAGGGTGAGCATCAAGGAGTCGTCAGTGGCCAAACTGGGCTCTGTCTGTCGTCGCATTTATAGGATATTCTCTCATGCCTACTTCCATCACCGCCAGATATTTGACAAGTATGAGGTAGGTTTCCTCGGAAATATCCTATGAACCAACGACACCTTTTATTTTGGTGTGTATTCCTTTTCCATTGCTGAATAGACAGCCCCGCCCCTTTTTTGCTCTGTGCTCCAATAACGGTTGAGCCAGTCTTGGTCAGAACTTCAGTCAACTTCCTCCTTTCCTGTACTTAGATATGCTATGTGCTAGGCTAATCTGTGTAGAAAAGACAACCACATTATGAAGACGGTTAACCAACCAACATATAGTCACATCTTAAGTTAGCTTTTTGAGATCAGTGTTAACTAACAAGCTAATTAACAATTGGTGTAGATTATGTAGCGAGTGAGCTAATGCTTTGCTAACATTAACTAACTTAAGATGTGACTAGAACACGTCGCTTTTAGCTTATCCATCTTTAAAATGTGGTTTTCTCTCTCAACATGACGAGCCTAGCACAGAGCATATCTATGTACAGGAAAGGAGGAAGTTGGGCGGAGCTTGCTCAACTGTTATTTGGATGTCAGGGATGTCAACTTGCTAAAATGTTGAAATAATAAACAAGACTGCAGAATTCTATCGTTGTTCCGTGTGTGTGTGTGTTTGTACAGAATGAAACGTTCCTGTGTCACCGGTTCACACGCTTCGTAATGAAGTACAACCTGATGTCCAAGGACAACCTGATCGTGCCCATTCTGGAGGAGGAGGCGCAGAACACCTCATCAGCTGGGGAGAGCGAGGCCTAACACACAGCTGCTGCCATAAGGGAGACACATGTACAAACACAGTTTTACGCATTACAGAGGAGACACATTCACACACCTGCATCTACAGGACACACACACATTCTCTCACACACCTGCATCTACAGGACACACACACATTCTCACACACACACACACACTTAAATATATATATACATATATATATATATATATATACACACACACTACAGTGTATTAAGGCTCTTGTCTAGTAACACTGTCCATGTCCCTCCACCCTTGTCACCTGTGTCTATCTCAAAGGAAGTAAGGGTAAAGAATACCAGGAGCAGAGTTCAGCCATGCCTGCAGGACAAGATGTTGTTGTTTTTTATCCTGTTTCCGCTCCGTCATTCAGATTCACACTGTGTCTCTGCTACCAGGACACAGTTTGTTTCTGGGTACAGTCCTGCTCTCACACTACTCCTTTCGGGAAACCCTGTTCCTTTTAATCTTCTTTAAGCAGCTGGATTTGCAAAAACCTATGTAATCATGGTGACCTGTATTGTTGACAAAGGCACACACTGACAGCCTCCCCCGTCTGTATATAACCCCCACTCCCCCTCTCTCTTATTCACTATCATGTTTTCTGATGGTGCTTCACTCTTTTGTGTCTGCTTCTGTTCTCTATTTGCTTGTGTTGCCTGTTTTGGGGGTGTCCCATGAAATGGATCACTAAATTAGCCTGCTGACTTAATAATGCTATTAAAACACAATGTAGGTGTGTGGCTTGTGTGGTAGTGAACAAAGACAAACTTAATCTCTAGCTTTGTAAGTGTACTAGCAGTCAGATATTCTTTCTCTTCGGCCTCTGAAATGATGTTTCACAGTATTTAGGAAGGCTCGTTGGCTAACTCTGATCCTGCTTTGTGACATGCCCCCATTTTAATACTGTGTAAAATGTGCCTGATATTCTTTTTCCTTGACATAATAGTAACTGAAACCATGACTGTATGGAGACTGAGCTGCTGTAAGCCAGTTTTTACCACTTTAAGCATTTGATGAGTAAATAACCACAAAGAAGGATGGAATATCGGCTACATTTTAGTATCGGAGCACAACCTCCCTTCTTTTACCCTCTCCCTCATTAAGTTATTTTGTGGGAGGAGTCTTGTCAATCCAACCCACTTTTTTTTTAATGGACTAAAAAATTTTGTTACTGTTGACATTTTCATGATGTCTGTTAATAAAAAAGACCTATTATTCAGGTTGCTGTGTGGACATTTTAATTCTATTCAGTGAAGCTGCACTGCTAACTGTGGCATGAACCTTATAGGACCTCTGTGTAGGATTTAGTGGCCTCTAGTGGTGAAGTTGCAGATGGCAACTTGTCCCTTCTGGGCTACTGTAGAAACATGACAGTTCACCATGGAGCCTCTGTAGATAGATATCCAGGTGATTCTACACTGTTGAAAACTGACAATAGACTCTTAAATGTTACACACTGAACCTTTAACACGTGGCTTGTTCCAGTCCTACGTAATGGATGAACTAAAGTGTAATGAACAATAGACAGTAATGGGACGGGACAGGACTCTCAAACCATGGGAAATAAGTGTTTAATACAATACAAACACCAATGACAAAGGAAGTAAAATGTACAGCTCTCTCAGAAGGAAAGGCTGGAATATTAATACTGACATTTAGTAAGCCTTTGCTGAGTTAAATACATCCATTTAAAACATGTATGCATACATCACTGGAATACCTAAAACTATACTTTCGGTGCATTTGATCCCTTTCCTCCCCCAAAAGCAAAATAACATGCATCACAATTAGGTCAAACTCATTTTTTGCTATTACGAATACTAACATTAAGATATATAAAACTGCAGTGTGTCCTTGAAAAGCAACTGCATCCCTTTCACTGCATTAAAAGACACCAGACACTCAGACTGGATGGACATTTAAAAAAGTATCAAAATCAATGCAGCAGAGCAGTCTTTTTTTTTTTAATCCAACAAATTCTTGTCAAAACCTGGTGTCCATTACCCACAATGCAACCCAACCGCTGGCAGTTGGGTCACAGCTCACTACTTGCAGTCTTAAGCCCCAACCGACATTTCCCGCAGCTCCTTCTGCACCCACAGAAGGCTTTATCTGCTGCTGTAGTACTTCCTAAGGCTGCCCTACAACCGTCACCTTTAAAAAATACAGTCCTTATCGTTTTGTTTCTGAAGAACTTCATCCATTACAGAGAGCAGGTATATTGCCAGTACCGTATCAGCTGTAAAGCAGCCATTTAAAAAGATTTGACTGAAGAAAAGTACGAGAGGGTTCCCGCTCCTTTCAACAAATCATTATCCAACACCTCCAGGAGTTTCTCTTGACAATCCAGGACAGCACTTTCTCACAAACCATCGTTTATATGACACTTCGTGTTAGCTCTTGGCTGTTCTCCCCGCAGCCGATTTTTCTGTTTTCTGCATAGACCTTTTTCACAGCAGCCATTTTGACATAAAATATTGGGGTAAGCATAGCTGTTACCAATGACACTAATAAAGGCTCCGTTCCATTTAGTTTAGCAGAGCCTTTCTCTTTCAAAATGGCTGTTGTGAAAAAGGTATACTGACTGCAGCTTTCCTCCAACATTATTCTGGCCACAGCACAGGCTAAAATACTTTAAACATTACCAGGACAACAAACTAGTCTGTACATTTCCAGGTTTTCAGGGCGTGTGGGAACCACAGCTCCATGGATCAAATATTTAAAAAATACTTTCAAACATATACAGGAGCCATAACCATTTCCAGAATGATTGTGAAATGGCACCAGTTAAATTGAACTTCAGGAGGGTGTGTGGACTGAATGCTGGTAAAACATGCAAGTGGCTGGTAGATTTGTTTCATTTACCAGCTGAAAACAAACGACGGTTATCTACTGAGAGGCTGGTCTGAACATTCACTAGCCATTTGGCCGGTAGACAGAAAAGTTAATTTTGTACCCAGCTTAGGGATCAACACACTGATATGTCTCCAGTTTACAACACGGAAAAGCTACTAATAGCACCTGAACTCTCAAATCCTCCAGAGGAACACTGCACAAATGTACTATATTAGGCAGCCAGCACATTCACTGAGGCCCGCAGGTACTGTATCAGATGTCAGCCTGTGTATTGTCAGTACCAACGCACGCAGGAAACTGTGACAGCCTCCTGGATGAATATTCACATCCTGCCTCCGCCCATTGGGGGAAGTTTCAAGGAATCTTGGAGGTAGAGGAACAAAGGTTGGGAGGGTGAATAAAAATGCAAATCAAAATTGTGACTCGTGAGCTGGGTCAGACAGAAAGTAGAGCCCCTTTTCCCTCATTTCGCCACCAGTGTAGTTTCCATAATGGGCAGAAATCTGAACGTGTTTATGCTTTATAGTATTGTGACAATCTTCCATGAGCACCTGAACTGATCAGAAAGTGGATTTAAATATGTGTAAAGTGTCTCCCATTGACTAGTTTCTCTCCTAACAGGTCTATATAAAAGTTTGGACAAAGATCCATTTCTAAATAATACCTCATTCTCATTATGGCTTCATTTAAAACATATTAAAAAAAAGTGCCAAGTTCTTCTACTTTAAAGTCTCTGTTGAAAGGAACATGAGCGTGATGGCCGATGAAGAGTTTGTCGACTTCCCAGAGTTCATTTTTCACTGATATGGTCTCTTCAGTAATCCAGCACTGTTTAAATCCTCAACTTGACAACGTCTGCTTTCCTGCTCACATACAGGTGACTTCAGCTTTTCCCTCCTCCTGCTCAAAGCCACCTTCCTCCAGGTGGGACAGGGCGCTGGGATACCCTCCACCGAACACCGGGAAGCCCCCGATGCCCCCGGCGGTTGGAGACAGTTCCTCAGGAGGGACAGGGCTGCTGACCGCACGACTTACAGAGCGGCTGGACACGTCGCTGTGCACGGACAAAGCCTGGAGACAGAAAGAGACGTTAGAGTTGCTATTCCCAAACGGGACCCTGAATGATGCTTCTGAATGATGTATATTTTATCACACCATTATAAACACTATACATTTTAAAGTATGTCCCAAAATGTTCGGATGTCTCAATAACCAACCTTAAAGGCTACTACTCTTAACCTTCACTGAGCCACAGCTTCAGCCTGAGCAACGTCACAGCAAATCAAGTGCAACTTTGACTCTGTTCACCAGGGGGCAGTGTAGCCACATAAACAGTCTCCCCCTGCAGCAACCGGAGATCTATCTGTCAGTCAACATTCCTCATAATATAATAACTGCCTTGTTTTTCTCCAAATACCACTAAAGTAATTATGTCAAAGTCTTTTAGCGATGACTGTCCAAAATAATAGCATGTGAAATATGTTTGAGTAATAATTTAGTAATGTGAATATGAGGACTGAGAGGGTACAGGCATTTATTCTCACTCAATACTACACTGATACCTTGGCAGGCTGATCATTATAGTTAAGTAACGTATATGTATATGTTGGCAAATTGTAGGATAGAATTCCAGTCTTTGTTACTGCTAAAGCTACTGGCTCCAAGACATGTCCTGATAAACGCAAGCACACTATTCTGAGAAACAGCTGCAATTTAGTGTCTTCTTACATTTACTCTCACCCTAGAATAACACACATTTTGGCGGGAACAGCATTGACCTTTTAAGCTCATTTGGAGTCACCTGATGAATGTGACACAATATTCACTCTCTTTTAGCTCGGGAGGAGTCTCTACCAACTCCTGAAATATGTGGCTCTTTAGCTGCTGAATGCTCCACTATGTTCACCAGCTAGTCTCTAACTGAGGCTGTCTGCTGTGTGGAGCTGAGCAGGTAGTAAACAGTGGCTTTTTCTAGCTTTTTCACTGAAAACAGCTGCCTGCTGCGGCTGATGGGAGCTAAACAATGAGATTCATTTCAGTTAATTTCAATTAAACCAGCGCTGGTGATTGTTGGAAAGACAGTTTGGGCGAGTTTTAGTTTTTTCTGTCCAGTTTGAAGTCAGTTTTACGTTTATCTGTGAGGTAAACTTGCAGGTTTTGTCTATGGAGTTTTTGGTCTAAAACACTGGTGCTCTAGTGCGACATC